AAAAAAAGCTAAAAGCAGCAAATCTAGCCTTTTGCACATCGGGAAGAAAGACGTCCTTAGCTATAGGGGTTAGCCTCGGTGGGACTGTGCAGAGGTGTTGCAGATCACACAAACATATGCACAGCTCCTTTTTTTTCTTTTTTTTTTTTCTTTTTGCTGCGGCAGCAGCTTTGCTGGCTGGACTGTGCTAAGAGGGTGAACTTTGCTCCTGTTTCACGTTAGTGACGGGAAATGGAAGATCAGCTCCCGGGGATCATCTCGCTGGTGCTGCCGCCGCTTCCTCTGGTGCAGGCGTGTGGTGGAGGGGCTGGGTTGGGAAGTCGCAGGCAGGCTGCAGCTTGCTCCATTAGACTTTATTTACATACCCACTAGCTATGTGCAGAGAGGAGCTCTGCCTGTGCCTCTGAGGTGGTGGTGGTGGGTTTTGGAAGCTGCCTGAAGAAGCCTCCTCTAGTTGGAAACCTCCTGAGGGCAGCGAGGGGGCATGCAGGAGGTCTGAGCCGGGGAATGGGTGCGAGTGCTAAAGGCTGCGCGGTGCTGAGGTGCTGGGGAGCCCGGTGTCGCTGGAGGTGGGAGCAGCAGCTGCGTCCCGCCTGGTCCGGCGTGGCTGGCGGGCGGCCTCGGCCCATCTTGGACATGTCCTACTCCCGTCACTTTCTGGATTTCCAGGGCTCGTCTATCCCCAGCTCCATGAAGAAGCTGGTGGTGACAAAGCTGAGCTCAAACTTCCGAGACGCGGTTACCCTGTGGCAAGACTCGCCTGTGCCACTCCCGGGAGATGGAGACCTCCTTGTCAGGAACAGGTGAGAGCCTCCTCCTCCCCTGCCGCCCCTCGCCCTGGCCTCGGGTCCTTCTCGCCCCAAGCCTGCTCCCCCCGGCTCCCCGCACCCGGCGGGCCTCTCTCACACACACACCACATGCTCACTCACTTCGTGATCGCAAATACACACATGCTCACTCACTTTCTGATCACATACACTCACTTTGATTGCACACACACACATGCTCACTTTGTGATCACACATGCTCACTCGTGTTGTGATGATCACACATGATCACTCTTGACCTCACACACATACACGTACTCATTTTCTGATATCACACACGCACATGCTCACTCGTGTTGGGATCACACACACAGATGATCACTCTTGATCACACACATACGCATACTCATTTTGTGAAATCACACGGATTCACATGCTCGCTCATTTTGTGATACACACACACACATGCTCACTCACTTTGTGATCCCATCAAGTTGCACCAGCTGCCATCTGGCGACTGTTAATTTAATTTTAGTATTATTGTTGTTGTTTTGAACGTCTGATGCCACCGTCCTTTCTTCCCCACCCCCTCTCCACCGTGTGCTTGCGTGTGTGTGTGTGTCTGTGTGGGGAGGGGGGTCTCTGTGGGGGGGCTGCTTTGGGGGTTGGTTTGCTTCCCCTTGCCCATGCAATGAAACATATCAGGCGCTCTCAGGAGAAGGAAGGAGGCAGCTTCTTCCCCCAGTTTTACTTCTCGTTTTGCGAGGCTGGAGAAAGGGCAGCAGCATCTGCAAGCTGAAAGTTTTCCCCTTGAGATTTTTTTCTAGGAAGGACTGAAACTACCAGGAAATGACTTCTAAGTCCCTCCCAGGTTTCTGTCTGTCTGTGTGCTCGTTACATGCCCGTGCAGCCATCCACGGACGTGTCACTCTCCTTATCTTCGCCATGTCAATGTCTTTGTGACACCAATGCCTGGGCACGTTACTGTAGCCCTGGGCTTGGGTGGGGAGCGGTATGTGTTGCACACATGCACGCATGTGGGGTGGGTGTGGTGTTCTGTGTACAACCTTGTGTATGTTTCCCTTCTGTCTGCTGCCTCTTTTTTCTTTTCTTTCTTTGTGTGTGTGTGTGTGTGTGTGGTGTGGTCCTCCACGTCACTAACCCTTAGTAAAGAGTGAATCAACAGGAAGGCAAAGGGATCTCAGTGTGTCACCGCTACCCTCCTTCCCCGTCACCCTTCACCGTGTCGGCACCACTCCATCCTCCTCTCCCCCTCCTCCCCCAGCTGCCAAACCTAACATCAGGAAAGGAGAGCCTTCCAGATGTGTCCTGAAGCTGTTAAACGCCGCACGAGCCTCCCTACCCTTTCAGGGAGTTTATAACTATTGTTAGTCTCGCCTGTGAAGTACGATCCTTAAATTGTTGGCTATTTTTACACTGAAAGAGGGTCACGCTGGGACTCAGGCGGTGACATTTTGCTTAACATAATACGCAGTAAATTGTGCGCTCGATAGTACTGTACGTTCAGCGTCTTGATCAGCTCACAATAAAGCGAGGGCTGCGAGGACAAAACGTACCTTTCTCCCAGAGACTTTATAAACCTATTTATTTTTATTGGCTCCCTCCTAGATGTTATCGTTCCTTAAGATAAAAGTAGGGCTTTTAAAGGTCAGAGGTTTACCTAGCCATGTGGGGAAGCTGAAACTCTGGAAGCCCTGGAGCAGATTGTGTGGTTGGTGCAGTCGAGGGGAAAAGGGAGAAGAGCCCTTTCAGGGGCTTGCAGAAGAAAACAGGTCAGACCCCAAAATATAAGTAAATAACCCCAAACTTGCCCTTCCTTGAATCGGTAAGGACGTCCCCTAATAAAGCACACTACCAGGCATGAAAACAAAACTGGAAGTTTACTAACTCTTTGAGTCTCTTATCGCTATCCAATCTCCATGCTGTGTATGGTTCCATAATGGGTGTAACATGTACGATGCACAAAAGGGGGGGGGGGGGGAGACTCGATGCATTTCTCTGCAAAGCTTCCTACAAACTTTAACCCGCTATTTTGCAGGAGGGGTGGGCGGGGGGGAGCCTCAAACACCGACTTTCTGCACCCACTAATGCCAGTACTGGCATGAAATACTCATGAGATGAGAGTGTGTTTGTTTATTTATTGGAAGAGACCGATTGACTTGCAATGGAAACAGTTACAAAAACTGTGGCAAGTCTTAGTGCAGGCGAGCTGGATGTTATAAGACTGCTACGTCGTTGTTGTGTCATCCCCTCCCCCACACCCCCTTGCCGTCTCTCTTCCCTCCCTCCTCCTTTCCCTGTGAAATGTGAAGGTTTATTAATGTAATTTATTTTGTTTTCCCTGTAACTCTTCTTTCATCCCCCCGCGCCCCTCCCCAGTCCCTGGGTGGGCTCCCTGGGTGCTGGGAGGACAGGCACACCCCACGGTGGGGAAGTCACCCGAAGGGAAGCAGGAGCTGGTCCAGGCACTCCGGCAGGCGGCTGCTGTGTCTGAACCCATCACTTTCTAGGAAGGGGTGGAAGTGGGAGAAGGGGATCCACTGTAAGTTTAGAGTTCACAAGTTCAGTTGACCCGAGGTTATTTATTATGATGTCTGGCGATTTTCAGACACACCCGGGCTTCCCACCCAGGACTGTACGTCTCGCATAGCCAACCTCTGCTTCTGTACAGCAGGAAGCAAGCCCGGAGTGTTTCCCCTTTCGCTCTCCCACTCTGGGAAGCTGTTTGCCATCCCGAAGGGACCCGGCTTTATTTAACCACATTTCATAATAGGTAAAAAAAACCAAAACCAGAAACACCCAGGATCTGCAAAACAATAACAATAAATGCCTTGAATTTCCAGAGTGCATTGCCAGATTTGTTCATTTTAGTCCCAGTCACGCCCATGAACAGTATTAATTGCTTTGAGCTTTTTATGCAAAACAGTCCTCATTCACGGTAAAATCTACTTTGGGGTTTAGGGAGCTATGGCAGGGGGGAGGTATTTGAGTCCACGTATTTATTTATTTATAAGTAAGCTGTCCTTCTATTAAGTGGAACTTTTTCTACACCCCACCCCCCCTTTTTTTCTCTCTGTCTCTCTGGAAAAATAACCCAAGAACCTTTCCTTCTGTGTCTTGGTTCTTAGCAGAAAAATCCATCATAGCCTTTATTCACAGAGAAATGCTTTTAAACCAGGAATCGATTTAAAACAATAAACTTTATCATTTCGATTGTGTGGAGGGGTGGGGGAAGGAGAGAGGAAAGCGAATAAAACCCTTAAGGAAGCCATTTCTGCTTCTGATGTGCATTGGTCCTGTTCGCAAGAGAGGGAAGGGGCTTCGGTTTTATTACAGAAGAATGACCCAAAGGGGATGGGGGGGATATGATTTCCCTAAGTTATGGGCTGGTTTCGAGCTCTTTGTAAAGGAGTGACGGGTTATTTCGTTTCCAAAATATTTTTTTAACGATTTCCTGTGGAGGTAGAAGATAATAGGAGGTGGGGGGGGAGTTTATTGAAATAAAAAGGAGAAAGGTGGCGGGGGGAAGAGATTTTGAACCAGGAGTTAGTGGCGCACAGGAGGAGCGGGGAATTATTTCTGCTGTTTGGGTTGAGGATTGCTTTCTTTCTAGCGTGCTCCTGCTTTGGGCGACTCTGTTTTGTCTGCACGAGAGGCTCTTCTGCTGGATTTCGGTCGCTTACTTTGTGTTGTGGGGCGAGAAGCAGCATTTCCTCCCCTCCGCAGGCTCGTCCTGCTTTTAGAATAAACAGCACGAGGGGGGTTCAGCCCTGCCGTGTAAATCCAGCGGGTGACTCAGCGCCTGCAATTATTTTGGGAGAAGCCAATCCCGATTTAGTGCCTTTGCTCAGGTCTTCAGCTTTTGAGACTCACTGAGCGCCGGGCCTCTGCAGCTGAACCAGCGCTGACGCGAGGACACCGGCAAGTTATGGAGAAAGCGGGTCACTTCGGAAGGATCGTGAAGGCGCGCGCACACGCACACACACGCACTAAACCCCACACACACCTGAAAAAAAACACTAACACATTAAAAAACCCACTCTCACACACACATTAAAAATATCCACTAACACACACATATATATTAAACTCCCTCACTAACACACCCAGATATTAAAACCTCCCACTAACACACACATATGTTAAACCCACTCACTATCACACACATACTAAACCCCCCCACTAAGACATGTACACACACATTAAAAAACTGTACACACATTTTAAAAACATCAACACGTACACATATTAAACCCCCCACTAACATACGTACACCCCCCAAAAAACCCACTAACACACATAGATTAACCCCCCTCATTAGCACACGCACATACTAACCTCCCACTAACACACACACATTAAAAAACCCTACTAACACACATGCATTAAAACCCCCCACTAACACACGTACACATACATTAAAAAACCTCACTAACACGCACATTAGAAACACTAACACACACGCACACACATTTAAAACCCCACTAACACACACACACTCACACTTTAAAAAAAAAGCCCCGCTAACACTCCAGGCATTTCTTTCTTGCCCTCCCGAAGTCACCTCTCTACCTCTTTTCACACAGAAGTTTACAAGCTGAGCTAGAACTTATTCCTACTGATTTTTTTGATTTTTTTTTTTAAAGAAAAATCAAAGCGTCTAAAACTGCCTGGCCATACCGCCTGCCTCCTTAGAGCACCTTGAACGACAGGGTTTAAAGTTAAAAAAGGGTGGGGGGAGATAGATGATATGGTCGAATTCAGACGTTTCATTATTTCCCCACGCGGGGAGTCAAGGGGGAAACACCATTGCTCGTAATAAAAACCACCCCCTAGTCTGCTCCCAGAAGCGTGAGTTTAGCAATTAGGAGTGGGTGAGAAGAAGGGGTTCAGTGTGTGTGGTGTGTGTGTGTGTGTGGTGGGGGGGGTTGTACTTTTAGCAGCCCGGGAGCCCGTATTGATTAATGATCATCATGGTCCCACCAGTCCAGAGAGAATCGTTTCGCAGGGCAGAGGCAGCTTTGAAGAAGCCCAGCTTGGGGCTGGGGGTGGGGAACACCAATTCTCACCGGCTCGCATTAGCCAGCACTTGCACGTTGCTTTGTTTCCTCCTAGCAGCAGATATGCTGAGGACCGGCGCCCCGGTGCAGACAGGGGAGGGGAAGGACCGCGGGGGGAGAAGGAAGCGTTTCTTCCCTGCCCCGAGCCCCTGCCTGCCTCCAAATCCCCCCGTCGGGTCGCGACCGAGGGCAAAGGCATCCGCGGGCTGGAAGAGGCCCAGGGCTGGAGGGCGGAGGCAGCCGGCCTCGCCCCCTGACCCGCACCGGGCACCTGCCCGCCGTGCCCCGCAAGGTGCCGCGGTCCCGGCCATCCTTTCCCCCGCGCGCCGCGGGCTGGGCAAGCCGGGGAGCAGCCCTGCCCCTGCGCCTCGCGCAGCAGCGTCCGGGGGTAAAGGCGCCGGCAGCAGAGGGGAAAGGAGCCCTTTTTATTATCATTATTTATTTTTTTTAATTTTTTTTCCCTCCCCCTAGGTGCAACTGCATCCCCAGGAGGGAGCTGCCGCTCGCCCCCGCGCTGGGCAGCCCCCCGGAGCCCCGGGGACGAGCTGGGGCAGCCGAAGCGAAATGCGCCTCGTGCAGCCAGCCCAGCTCCCTGCTCGCAGCTCCCCGGGGCCCTGCGGGCGCGCTTGGGCCTGGGGAGCTGCTGCCGCGGGCCCCGGGGCTTCAAAGAGTGGGACGGGGACACTGGGGGTGGCAGGGCTCTCCCCCGCATCTGGACAGAGCCGGGAGACTTGCTTTGTTCGAGCTGGGGCAGCCGAAGCGAAATGCGCCTCGTGCAGCCAGCCCAGCTCCCTGCTCGCAGCTCCCCGGGGCCCTGCGGGCGCGCTTGGGCCTGGGGAGCTGCTGCCGCGGGCCCCGGGGCTTCAAAGAGTGGGACGGGGACACTGGGGGTGGCAGGGCTCTCCCCCGCATCTGGACAGAGCCGGGAGACTTGCTTTGTTAGGAGAGCTGAAGTCAGGGCAGAAGGAGGGGAAAGCAACACTCAGCCTTCCTCCCTGGCTGGATGCTCGTGCCTATATAGGGCTGTCTCTCCCTCTCTACTAATATATCACACACAAGCTTAACCTTAGTGCAAGTCTGAGACCCTCCATAGCATGGAGAAGTGAGAAATCCAAATAAGCAAAGCACTTGGGGGTGTGGAGGTTTGGTTTTGTGGGGTTTTTTTAGTTTTGTTGGTTGGGGTTGGGGGGGGGTTGAAGTTTTTTTTGCTTTTACTTCTCATTACTGTATGCCTAAGCGATTTCACCTTACACCCGCACACAGCATTTGACCGTATGGCTAAGCATGACAATTAATACTGCACCATTTGCGTACTTCTCCAGCTTTTCTCATGACATCAAATACATCTTTAGGTTGTCACTTCCACATGGAGGGAAAAAAAAATCCTGGTGCTTTTCTGCTGCCTGTGTAAGCCTCTCCTTGACACTTCCTGGTTATAAGAAAACTCCCCCCTCCCTGCCCCCCTCCTTCCTCCTTGTGTATCAAGGTATTTTTGTTACAAGTGCCTTTAACATGGGGGGAAAAATGTTAGTAAAATACCTCGCGTGGAATACCATAATGAAACTTCTCTTTTGGTGCCAGTCAAGTTTAGTATAGATCGGTGTCCTTTTTTTACTAAACATGCAGCATTCATTTTCACCTGTTAGAGGTCAACAGGGCTTCTAAACATTAAATGCTCCATCTTACAATTTCAGTCCTTTTATACAAGGTTGTTTTGTAGCTCAGCGAGTCATTTATATACAGAAAAATATTTTCATGTTGGCATTAACTGCATCAAAAGGCAAATTTGTTATAGTGGCTCCATCCATTTAAAAAAAAACAAACTCGCCTGCAGTAACATGACCTTGCAAACGACATCGATAGTTAATATTATTATTAGTCATTAACAGTATTACTATAATCAGAAATGTAAATTTGTTGTCAGAATCAACATATTTACCACTTTACACATATTTTATTTCATGGTGCTTTTACATCTTTTGTAAAGGGGTCAGTTATTTTTTGTCCTTCCACCTCATTCAGAATTATTTTTTATTTTGGGGGTAGGGTGGGGGTTGCCAGTTAAAATGGATGTGTATACAATACTTTTTAAAGACTTGAGCTATCTAGAATAGTAGAACAGTTAAATAAAAAAGTCTGAGGAAAAATTCTTTTTTTATCAATACATATTCACTTCTTTTTAAGTAGCATGATGTAAACAGTTTTCCCAACTATCAGTTTTTTTGAAAAAGCACCATTACGACTTCTTATACCATAAATTAAAAGGGGAGATTTTTCACAGGGCAAAAGTATTTGAGAAGGAAAGCATGTTAACAATTTTTTGTTTTCTCCTAGATTTGTCGGCATTAATGCATCTGACATAAACTACTCAGCTGGTCGATATGACACTTCAGTAAAACCCCCATTTGATGTAGGTTTTGAAGGTATTGGTGATGTGGTTGCCTTAGGGCTGAGTGCTAGTGCCAGTTACACAGTGGGCCAAGCTGTGGCGTATCTGTCACCAGGGTCTTTTGCTGAGTATACTGTTGTGCCTGCCAAAAATGCAGTTCCTCTACCCTCTGTGAAACCTGAGTTTCTTACTTTAATGGTAAGCGGCACTACCGCGTACATCAGTCTAAAGGAGCATGGAGAATTATCTGAAGGCAAGAAGGTTTTGGTCACAGCAGCAGCTGGAGGAACAGGCCAGTTTGCTGTGCAGCTTGCAAAGAAGGCAAAATGCCATGTAATTGGAACTTGCTCTAGCGATGAAAAGGCTGGTTTTCTAAGATCCATTGGCTGTGACCATTCTATCAACTATAAAACTGAAAATGTTGGTGCAATTCTTAGGAAGGACTACCCAGAAGGCGTGGATATAGTGTATGAATCTGTTGGTGGAAAGATGTTTGACTTGGCTGTCAACTCCTTGGCTACCAAAGGGCGTCTGATAGTTATTGGGTTTATCTCTGGCTACCAAACCCCTACTGGCCTTCAGCCTATTAAAGCAGAATTGCTGCCAGTAAAACTGCTGAAGAAATCTGCCAGCATCCGGGGTTTCTTTTTGAACCATTACCTTTCCGAATACCCAATGGCTCTGAAACACTTGCTCAAGATGTGTGAAAATGGAGAACTGGTCTGTGAGGTGGACCTTGGAAACTTGTCTCCAGAGGGCAAGTTCACTAGCTTGGAGTCTGTATTCCGTGCTGTAGATTATATGTACATGGGAAAAAACATTGGAAAAATTGTAGTTGAATTACCTCACTCTGTCAACAGTAAGCTGTAAAAACAGAACAATGATATAAATCAAAAGAGAGAGAAAATGGGCACGTTGTGCCCCAGAATTACTAGAAACAATTTATTTAACACAAAAAAACCCTTGGTAATGGATATTATATTAAAAAAAGCATTCGGGTGTTAATAAAAAGTTTTGATTGTTAAAAAACCAAAAAAAACCCAGCTAAATTAAACCAGTGTCACTGGCAAGAACTTAAATGTGCCTGTGTTCAATTCTGTAACTTTTTACAGGCTGTGTTGCCCAGTCTAATGTTAGAGGCAACCATTATTCTCAGCAGTTAAAATAAGTCTGGTTGCAAAGGCTGAGCCAATCAGTCTTTCTTCAGTTTGATAACATTTTACAATCCAGTTAGAAACATGTTATATAAATTATTTAAACAGAAAGAAAGAGACAGGCCATGATCAAAATGTCTTTAGTTTACAGCAAACAAGTAAATATATATATATTCACATCTTGTAGAAGTTTTGTTATTTTATGATATTTCCAGAAAACAGTGAAAAATAATAATTTAAATGTTTTGGGTAGCAAAGCTGGTAATAATACTAGGGTTACATTGTGCACATGAGTCATATTTCATAATCAGTTATTTATGGAAAATGTATCCTCTGGTTCTAACATGGCAGAAATATAGAAAAAAAAATCCACAGATGAATTTTTTTCTTTTACTTCCAAAGTTACAATTTACAAATAACTCTGCAGCTTTCACTTAAGTCTTTGGTTACAATTTGGAACATTCATTTTATAGTTTTGCCTTGATGTTTGTTATTATTACTGTTTACGCTCTATTCTCCGCATTAATGCACAAGGCAGGCTTACTGCACTACAGTTTTGAATTGTGTTCACATGTACAGAGGTCATGTACTAAACTAAGGATTTAATAAAGTCCAGAAAAATATCCCCATGTGTGTAGTATTTATTCATACTGATACAATTCTTGTAGATTAGCTTTCCTATAGTAGTGCAGCTTATTGTAGCATACTTGGCTAATGCTTAATATTTGGTATGGCTTCTCATAGCCATGGTATTATTTTTTCAGTAGTGCTGCTTTGTGGGCCTTTTAGTAAATAACCAGGTAGTTTTTTAGAAATTCACTGAGTTCAACATACACGTCAAGTATAAATAAAACTGTAACTGGGGAACAGGTTCCACAATAGGTGCAGTTAAAAAGTTTGTAATGTTTTGAAAGTTATTGCTGGTTTAAGAGCTACTGCTACTTATGCATATAAGGTGAATACTTCCTAGGTGTGGTAAGGTTTTTCAAAATTAAAATATTTTAAACTATGCTTATTGTACCTCTTTTTAGTGTAAGTATATACAATTTTAGAGACTGAGCCAGCTGTACCCACTGAAGTCTGAGATTTTTGAGTTTAATGGAATTAGAGCGCACAAAACGAGGCACCCTGCTGGTACCCAGCAATCATAGGACATTGCCATACTACATGGAAAAAAATACTGGGTTAATTTTAATCTTGGGCAGTAATCAGATCTGGCTGTACACATAGGTTGCAGCTTCATTAAAAGTAATATGCAATAAGAACTTCAGCAATTCTAATGTAAATGGGGACTACATAGAATTCATTTTCCAATTTCTGACCTCATATTGTATTCCCACTGCAATGTGATGTACATCAGATATTGCTGTTTAACAGATTTGTACCCAGCCCAAGAATCATACCTGTTCTGCCATGTTTGACTATATGTATCAATTATGCTGCTTTGGGCTATTCAGGAAAGATTTTGTCTCTCTTACATTTTCCAAGTCATGTGGATCTTGCTGTTCCTTTTTTTTTTTTTTTTTGATGGAGGGGTTCAGGGGAGTGGCTTGTTTGTTAGTTAGTTAAACATGATATTACTGTAAAGCATTTTTTTTTGGTCATTGGAAAGTATGTTACATTTGGGATGTCCAACCAGATGCTAGGAGGCAGAGAATCTCACTACTTTGCCAGATCCTTTCCCAATCAAAGATTATTAACGGTTTTATTTTGTAGAATGTTGTCTTTCCTTATGTTCAAACAGGGGACATCCTTGAACAATAAACATATCTGAGAAAAAGCCCAATTTAGACCAGTTCTTACAAAAGTCAAGATAAGAATCAAAGTTAAGTCTGTGGCATGCAAGAAAACCTCATGGGGGAAAATTTGTTCAAATTAGATGCCTCGAGTTGAGCACAAAATCCACATTTGGTTACTTAAGTAAGTGCCCAACTGTCAGAAACACCAATTAGAAGTAAGTCAACAGATTTGGGGGCCCCTTTATTAATTCAAAAAGTTAGGTCCTAGCATCTTTTATATATGATAATATGAAATCTGCAGGACATTCTGTGTTCCTTTAACACAGAATGTGTTACTTGTTTTAATAACCTTCAGTAATGCAGTCATTCCAGGCTCCACCACTACTACAACTAAAATGAGAGAACAGAAACACCTTTAGCACTTTTCTACATGTATGTTCAAATGTGACATTTTTCTTAGTTGTAATGTTGGTTTGGAAGGGGTCATTTATCATTACTTTAATGCTCTGTATAACATTATTACCACATTTCAACTTCTTTATATGTAGAAGTTGAATGCCCAATTTAGCGATGCAAAAGCATTTTTGGATTCTAAGTTGGGCTATAGCAGTTGGTTTGTCATATTCATCAAACACTTACATTATGCTAAAGAGGTATCTTAAGTTATGCATGATTGTTCTTCCATGAATGAATCCAGGATGGTTAGTGATCTATAAAGCTAAGAGTTATTACTGATTCCTTTAGATGATTGAAGAAACCAACAATATCTGGGGAGGGAAATGCAGGTATTTCTGAAGCGTATGTATGACCTTATTCCTGTTGCAATCAGTGACAATTCTCAGGTGTAAGAAGAAGAAAACAACTTTTTCTACTTCATTCAAAGCACATATTATAAGATGGCTACAGCATGTATAAGGCTGATTTTGAATAAGTGAGCTATGATGGATTTAAATAATACTAAAATATTAGATGGACAGGAAAACGTATATGGCATGCACACAGTGAGGGTTTAAATAATGCTAGGACATTGAACGCAGAAGGAAAAGAAATACTGTAGACTCACAGCAAGGGATTAATAACAATACACTTAATATGCTTGCAGAAAAGGTGTATTAAAAGCTGTGTGCACAGTAGGGACTTAAATGATTAAAAATAATAATACATTTGCCTGGGAAGTACTAAGTATACTATACGTAGAGAGCAGGGATTTAAATAATAATAATATTAATAATAGCTCATTGAGATGTGGTTGCTGGCACTACATCCTAATTTTACCTTTCCAAATGAATTTGCTACGGCAGAATCTAACATTGCTTGTTGAGGGTAATAGCAGTGCTCCCCCTTCCAACACACACACATACACTTCCATGGCAAACAACAAAGAAATGTGATGAAGGGCTAGTTACATGCTTTTTCTTCTGAATCTCTCTCTCGTACGTACACACTCTACACCCATCAGCACATTTTACAGATATGTTTCCTATTTAATTGCTATGCTGGAATTTCTTAATGCCTTTTTGAATTAAGTTAGATTCCTACCAGGCAGCAGTGTGGGATATGCTTTTTTTTGCTTTTTTTTTTTAATAGGTGGCCAGATATAACTGCCATACCATGTAAATACAAATGATTACAGTTGCTCAGGGAAAAGTTTCTAACAGTATTTGAAAATGTTATATCTTTTTCTTCCTTTCATCTAAGGAGTAAAGAAATTCCACTACTGAATGGCTGTTAGTATCTATTTTACAAGATTTACTCATTTTCAGGTACCTAATGTAGCTGCTAGCATGCATGCACAACAATACAATTTATATGGTAAATGGAACCAAATAATGGCTTCACTGAATGTTATGGCTGCACTGAAGGGAAATGTCACGGTAAATAGCTGCCAAATTATGGATCATGCCGAAGTGTCACAACTGCACTAAAGACAAATAGCACTAGAGGCTATTGCCACTGTGACGCTTTTGAGTTATGAAGAAGAGGAGCAGCCTGATGTGAGGCTCTTTGTGTCCTCATTATAGCAAAGGGTTACTGGTGCAATGTACAAGAAAACCTAGTCCAACGTGGTGGTTAGTTATTAATCTGCCCCTTTCAGATCAAACAGCTGTAGCAAAACAGAAAAATCTTTGCCTTTCTTCATAATGCATATACACACACAAATAAAGAAAAAAAATGCAGGTTTTATGAATGTAAATGTGTACAGGAAATGACTGGTAATGGAAAAATGTTGTAATAAAATAATCCAATCAAAGAATATTATTAAATTTAACATAGTATGTGTCTGAAAGGTTTAGTTGCTTCTTATGCAGATAGATGTGTGAAATATAAGCAATAATGCACTTTCTCTCTTTGTAAAGACTTGAGTAGTAAGGACATTACCAACTAAATTGCTTCTTCTAAACTGAAGTGAGTCCCGGTTTCTTTCATTTTAATGGGAGGGTAATAAAGATGAAAGACTAACATTTTAACTGATGGATCCCTTAAGCTACAGAATAGAAATTTATTATGTTTTGAGGGGATATGCTAAATCCAGAAATGCAGGAGGGAGGGGGAGATCCCAGGTAAAATAAAAGCAAACTAAAAAAAATAATTTAACATTTTATGGATGGAAAACTATGTACTGCTTTTATTTATGCTAAGCAAACCATTCTATTTTTTAATTTGGGCACAGCATCAGAAATATATTTGAAAAGGGGTTGGGAATGGAGGTCACAATTCAGAAAGTGGTCTCTTTTTTTTGTACAATCATTTTTTAAGTCCAGTAGATAACATTAAGTGAAATGAGTTTCATGGCCTCAACAATTCCTTAACAAACCATTGTACATACCACAAATAAACCATCCATAATTCAACACAATTGTCAGTCTCTGTTTTAGAGAGGGAGGCCAGAATTGAACAATCATGATGGATAAATTACTTCTCAATTCTAGGGAGAGTGGCCTTCCTTCCACATCAGGCTAAAGGTCATTGGTAGGGCAGTGAGGAGGGAGCTTGTACATTAGTTAACTCTAATGCACTAATAGTGTGTGGATAAACAGAAGAACTACACTAATTAATTATAGTTAGGCTTGGGGGGGAGTTTTTTTGGTGGGGGAAGAGGGAAGGGAATTCTTGAAGAACACTTATTTTGTTCTTACATATTTTGCCTCCTTGCTACTCTTTTTCCATTGCTCCCATGCAAAAATAACAAATAGTAGATGGGTCACATTTCTCATAAGTATATTAGAGCTTTCAATTTTAATCATTGGAAAAATCCACATCTCAGAGTATATACAAAGAAGAGACTCTAAAAAGGTTTTTATCCTGTGGCAATAACACATTCTGCTTAAAATTCTTACAGTGTAGCCTAAAGCAGTGTGGGGGGAACTGTCCAAAATGGGGTAGAGCATGTTTGAATGGCGATTAGTGTACCCAAAATTTATTTTATGTATAGCGCATTGGCAAGTAGCTGCTTCTTATTAAATGAAAATCCTGTATTATGTACTTCAGGAACATTCCAACTAATGAGTATGTAATGTCCTTAGTATAACACAGAACTTCTTTTTCTGTTCACAACCACAAGATGCTGGAAACTTGACAAATGATATCATTTAAGACAGATGCCTGCCTTAGGGACCTGTTTTTTGGCTTCCTGTTTCTGGCTTTTATTTCAGTAACATTTGTAATTGCCATAGGATCTGTACCTGTGTAGTGTTTTAACCCCTTCACATATTCACCCCTTCACATTAATTCACCAGATTGGCATTTTCCCCCTCAAGTAGTATGTCTGTCTCTCTCTCACAAACACACACACACACACACACACACACACACACACACACACACACACACACACGAAAGCTGAGGTTTATTAGAGTTGACGATAGGGTGACACCATTTAGAAAGGAAACGCATACTGTGCTAGTTGTGTTTTACTGATTTTAACACAAAAAATGCATGTACACCAGGCCTACGGAAAACAAGAGCTGCCAGGTGTGACCTGCTGATTCTCTGTGGATTAGAACAAGGATTCCATACATACATTTTAGATAGGCAGTCTTCCATAAATACTAGATACTGGAGAGGTGAAAAATAGCTTGCTTTGGGGTCCATTTTGACATCCGTTCTCCCTCCCATATTGATAAAAAAAAAAATCTTTGTTATAGATGTGAATGCAGTCTGAAGCTAGTTTTATATGTAGACTTTTATTTTCAGAAAAAAATACAAAACACATGCACACAACAGCTTTGCTTTAATGAAGGCACCAATTCACAAAGGAAATCTCAATATTTGGTTTTAAATTCTACACTGTACTTGTAGTAAAAAGTGGTGGTAAAAATGGGACACCAGTGGCTCTAAGCTACTTATGAACCCTTAAGGTTTGAGGCTGGTTTCAGGCAGGTGCTACTCTAATTAATGGCAGACACCCAAAGGCTAGTTCTCAGAGCTAGAGCAATCCAGTATCTTTGTAGCAGCAAGGTATGGGTGCACCCTCTCTTGTACCCTGCCCTGCAAGAGTATTTGTAAGAGGCCACTACACAGCCAGTTATGATGGTTCTCTGCTGTATTTGCACAGGGAAATTCTCTTCAGGCTCCATGAAGCCCAGTTTTGGCCACACAATGCCACAGTGGCATATAGGGGAGGCCAGGGCAGAAACAGAGTCTCAGTAAAGTAGCAGCACATACACCTGACACTTGCTGTGTGAAAAAAAACAGAATATTTGTACAGAAAAAGTACTGCTTTCCAAAAAATAATATTTCACTATGCCATTTTGAGCAAATTCTAGCTTCCTG